CGGTGCTATATTTCTACATAGTCATTAATGCACTTGCTGCCAGGCTTGTGAAAGGGATTCAGAAGGCTGCAGTTCTTCTTGACCCTCCTCCCCCTCACTTCTTGCTCTTCACAGTGTTCCAGTTCCTTGCGCATGAACTAGCGACTGTGCAGACTCCTCCTATTACACCGGTTCCCCACCCACCTCAGTGCTTCTTTTACTCCTGGGGTATAATCCCTTTGGAATGACCAGTTTTGGCTTGTAGGAGCAAGAAGGCATTCATCAAACCTCCCCTTTGCCGCGATTTGGCATGGGATAATAGCTACCTGGACGACCGCGTCCGGGAGCTTTCCTCATTGTCGAAATTGTTCGGCGCTGTTATTATTTCGAGGGTATGGGTTTGGAAATAATTAGCTGCCATCAGGAGAGGGTGTCAGCGGGCGTGTGGACACAAAGAGCCATGGTCACACACGGAACCACGTGCATCTGAAACTGGGGCAGTGTTGGTGAATTTGCAGGAGGGTTTCTCTGGGATTAAGCTTTCAGGAACGCCATCCAAGTTAACATTAGGGTGATTAAAGAAATCCGGCTTGATTAATTGCATCAATTGGCGTTGGGTAATTAATGGAATGATTTGCATAACGAAAATATGGGGAGTTCCTGACGAGGCAACCATGAAGTCCTCAGCAAGGAGGGGTAGAAAAGAAGTGTGTGTGTGGGAAACGATGTTGGGGGGGGTTATAGAAAGCTCATCAGGCATGCGCATTCACACACACTAAATAAGGCACTTTGAATCCACTTTCAGTGCACTTTGCAACTGGATTTTACTGTGAAATGGGAAAATCCACTTGCAAATGGTTGCAGAAGCTGATTGAAATGGCATTATTTAGCATATGTGAAAGCACCCCTCAGTGTGTCCTGTTCTTTCTACCTAGGCTTTGGTTGAGTTTTCATTTAATTCTTTATTTCCTCTCCCTTCTCATGGAGTGCAAAAGAAATGTATGGCTGCTTTATGATCAGATGGTCTGTTTTATGGTTGGTTTTATTGCTAAGCTGGTCTTTCCGGGTTTTAAATTTCTTTTACATTGCTTTTTTGTTGCTGTTTAGCTTGTATTTTACATCATCGATGGTGTAATATTCTCAGTCTACAGTTCTATAAATCACCTCGGCAGCTGTGGGGTGAGATTTGTTGCGTCAGGAATTTTTAAACCAATGGATAGATAATAACATAAACCATGTGCCTGTTGCCATAAAACACTGTGGGTTCCCCCCCCCCCCAAATTGTGTTGCAGGAAAGCTTAAAAGTTCTTCAAAAGCTCCTCAAGTGAGAACATTAGTAACAGCAGGGCTATTTTTGGGCAGGAACGCGCAGGAACGGAGTTCTGGCTGGCTCCTGAGTTGGCCACGCCCAGCAGGAACTCATTAGCATAATAAGCCACACCCAATAGCAGAAACTCATTAGGATTGGCTACATTAGGGGTGTGTGGCCTAACATGCAAAGGAGTTCCTTCTACAAAAAAAGGCCCTGGGTTTTGACAACAAACAAGGTAAACAGAATAAGAAGGAAAAGGTGGGTGTGGCTGGATGACCACACTTTTGGTAACATGGGGGGTGTGGCCTAATGTGCTAATGAGCGGTGCTGTCAGGGTGTAGCCTAATATGCTAATGAGTTTCTGCTGTTGGGTGTGGCCTATTATGCTAATGAGTTCCTGCTGGGCTTTTTCTACAAAAAGAGCCCTGAGTAACAGCGGAGTAAATTCCCAACAAACCTTGTGTATCACTGCCAATGTGTGACCATACCAGACTCAATCCTTTTCCCCCCATATGTGTCTGTGTGTGTGCACATGCATGAGTGTGTGTGTGCACCTGGAAGTCATGGTGACCTTTGGTGACTGGGGACCTGGAGGATATTCAAAACAATGGCTGAATAAAGCCTTCCTCCACCTCCCACCTCTTGTATTCCAAGGAGGTCTCCCATCCAAGGACTGGCTAGAGTCGACCCCGCTTAGCTTCCAAGTTCTGGTGAGATCGGGCTTGCCCAGGCTATCCAGGTGAGAGCCAGACTCAAACCTTTTTGAGCTGTGGGCACCTTTGGGATTCTGACACAGGGTGGTGGGCACAACCATAAAATGGCTGCCATAGAAGCCAACCACACAGAGGAAGCCCAAGTACAGGGGAGAAGAGGTGTGATTTTTTAAAAAAAAATGCACTGGGAAAGAGGAAGGAAAGAATGAAACCAACACTGTCGTGGCAGCTGCCACTGGAACAAACTTGTTTTAATCTGCACAGCCAATCAGAAGCCCTGCTGGGCAACAGCCCCACCCACTTTCTAAAAAAACACTTTGTGGGCTCCAAGAAAGGTGTCCGCAGGTGTCACGGTGCCCACAAGCACCACCCTGGAGTTCCCTGTTCTAGGACATTAATGGAACCGCTCAAAGGTGGAATCAGCTGCCTAGGGAGGTGGTGAGCTCCCCCTTCGCTGGCAGCTTTCAAGAAGAGGCTGGACGAATATTTGTCACGGATGCTTTAGGCTGGTCCCACATTGGGCAGGGGGTTGGACTAGATGGGCTGTATGGCCCCTTCCAACTCTATGATTCTATGATTCTATGACATGCTCTCTGGTCCCTGAGGGTGGTAGATGAACCTCCAGAGGGCTGCATGATCTGGGCACTGTAGGATATGTTTTTCTCTGATGCACGGAGTTCCCATGGCCTGCGCTCATAGGTTCCTTAGCCGGGAAGTTGATGTGGAAAAGGTTTCCTTGAATATCTGAGTCTGAAACATGCTGCTTCACAGTATGCAAAGTGGGAGTTGGGCTCATGGGTCAACAGGATTTTGGGAGTATGAGCTTTCGAGAATCCGAGGGAGCTTTGATTCTTGAAAGCTCAAACCCAGAAATCTCCTTGGTCTCTAAGGTGCTACTGGGACTCGAATCTAGCCAATATTTCCTGTTTATGTATTGGCCAGATATGTACATCCTGGTTTATTGGACTCCTGGGATCCACAGAGCAGCTTGCACAAAAATGAAATCCAAACACTATTAAAGGCAAACAAAAGCAGCTAGCAACAGTTAGGCAATAGTGGAAGACTTGATAGAATTTTGTTCAGCAAGATGAGAATTTCAGTGCATTTGTAGCAGGTTGTCATTTAGTTGTTTCCCAAAACCTATCAGTAAGGAAACTTTGCTATTGGGCATTTGTCTTAAAAAAAAAAAAAAAAAACCAGCTAAGAGAGGAGAAAGATTTCAAACACACTTGATAATGCACTTTCAACCTGCTGTCAATGCACTTTGCAGCTGGATTTTACTATGCAAAATATACTTGCAGACAGTTGCTAAAGGCATTGAATATACATTATTCAGCACGCATGAAAGCGCTTGGGGTGCCACTATGAAATAAGCCCTGCCATGTGCAGCCACTCACAACCTTACTTTTGATCATGAGGGAACATGGTGAAATGGTAACTGAGGATCACAGGGGGTAGTAGGTGGAGTTGACTGGAGGCCAGTGTTCCCTCTAAGCTGAGTTAATGTGAGCTAGCTCACAGTTTTTAGCCTCCGGCTCACGCATTTTTGTCTTAGCTCAGGAAGGATGGCTCCAGAGCAAACTGATTTATGCAGCAGTCCAATAACTCGCTCACAACTTTAATGCCAGGAGCTCACAAAGTGGAATTTTGGCTCACAAGACTCCATGGCTTAGAGGGAGCATTGCTGGAGGCACTACTTTTGGAAAAATACACAACTTGGGGGGGAAAGTCTGGTTCCAGCACAATAAACAGGTCACCTGTCTGCAACTGCAGGGTAACCCAGTAAGATTTCCTCCCAAAAGGCCCCCCCCCCTGCACAGTTTACAAAAAACAGTACAGTGTTTTCAAGGCAGTGGGGATACTTTTGAGATTGTTTTGTGTCTGTCAAGTGTAGCATTGCCGCTGGGAGGGACGAAGGACTCCCACTGCCAAAGAGAAGTGGAGAATGGGGGACTTGTGCTGCATCGGTGATATGATAACCATCTTCAAGGACTTGAAGGATTGTCATATAGAGGTGGGCGTGGAGTTGTTTTCGGTTGCCCCAGAAGGTCGGACCAGAACCAAGGGGTTGAAAATAAATGGGAAGAGTCTTTGGCTAAACAAGAACTTCCTGACAGTTAGAGCAGTTCCTCAGTAGAACAGGCTTCCTCTGGAGGTGGTGGGCTCTCCTTTGGAGGATTTCAAACAGAGGTTGGATGGCCATCTGACGGCAATGCTGATTCTGTGGACTTAGGCAGACCATGAGAAGGGAGGGCAGGAAGGGTTGCCTCAGTGCTTAGTTCTTGTGGCCCTTTCTTACACACCCAGGGAATTGCTGATTGCCACTTTGGGGGCAGGAAGCAATTTTTTCTCCGGGCTGGAGATCCTGGAGGTTTTTTGTCATCTTCTGGGCATGGAACTGGAGTCACTGGGGTTGTGGGGAGGAGGTATTTGTGAATTTCCTTCATTGGACTAGATGACCCTGGAGATCCCTTCCAACTCTATGAATCTGTGATTCTATAGGGACAGCCCAATGCAAAGGGTACAGAGTAGTAGATGTATTCAGCATGCGCATTTCAGCCCTTCTTCGAGCACACTGTTTGGGAGTGACTACTGTGACATTTTTCAGTTCATCCTGCTCTCTGCTTCTGATAGCTTTAAAATATATGCACACTTCTGCAGTGCTAATGTAGGGGGCCGTTAACATCTTGAACTACTGCTTTGCAGTGTTATAAAAATTTTACTGTTGCCTCTCTAGACTTCTCCGTTCTGATCAGGAGCAAATAACTTGCCAAAGTGCAGTAATCCAATTTTTTTTTAATGACAACTGCAGCCTATATAAATAACCATTTCTAACCACTTTTCCGTGTTGTAATTTAATAGCAGGTGCAGGTGGATGGCAGGGGGAAAGGTGCTAGGATTTTACTGCTTTTTCATCTGCCCCCCTCTCCCAACATAAGATAGATGGTGCCCCCCCCCACCTTGAGTAAGAGCATTCTGTTTTGTTTCGATAACAGATCAAGCGAGAGAAACCAGAAACTGTCCCAGATTTGAAAGATTTAGTCCAGGAGAAGTTTACAGCCCTGGAGAGAACAAACAGTGACCTTGAGCTGAACAGCAATGAAAAATTTGCCCTTTTTAAGGAGCAGCTGAAGCAGATGAAGACGCAGTGTAAGTCTCTGTGCTTTTATTACTGGGCTCAGGAAAAGTCGGGAGCAAGATGGACCTCAAACGGTTAATCCTTTCTCACCTCTCTGCCTTTCCTCCCTACCCCCTCCCCCTTGACCTAGCGTGGAGAAAGACCCATTCTGGAGGCTCCCCAGGAAGCAGAAGGCTGCCAACTCTGGGTGGGGAATTTCTTGGAGATTTGGGGCTGCAGTCTGGAAAGGGTGGAAGTCTGGGGAAGGGAGGGTCCCCAGCAGGATATAATGCCATAGATTCCAACCTCCAAAGCGCCCTTTCCTCCAGGGGGTAGGGTTGCCAGCCTCCAGGTGGGGCCTGGAGATCTCCCGCTTTTACAACTGATCCCCTTCTGACAGAGATCCGCTCCCCTGGAGAAAATGGCTGCTTTGGAGGGTGGACTCTTTGGCATTATACCCCACTGAGGTCCCTCCCCTCCCCAAACCCCGCCCTCCCCAGGCTCCACCCCCAAATTCTCCAGGTATTTCCCAGCCCAGACCTGGCAACCCTACGAGGGGGAGTGGTCTGTGTCGTATGGAGTTTTGTTGTAATTCCTCGAGATCTCCAGACCCCGCCACAAGGTTGGCAGACCTCCTAGGAAAACTGGAACAACCTCTTTGGCTCTTTCTCTTTCTGTGCACACATCCCAATTTGCTTTTGCGAAATGGGCTCAGGTGATGCGGGGTATTGCCCAAGTACCAAGCAGGGATTTGTCGGTGGCCCACCGTTTTTTTTTTTTATTTACCTTTTCCGTCTACCTCATTTGCTTAACCTTTGTGCTATAAAGAGTTCTTTGAATGAGCCGATATGCTTGAATATATACTCTGCAGAAGACCGTTTTGTTTTGTTTTAATTCGGGAGTGAATTTTTTAAAACACAAAAGGATCCCTGGTAAGGGTTGTCTTTTGTGTCTTAAACAATTCACTAGCGGATTAAAAAAAAAAAAAAGGACTTCTGTAAAATATATTCAAATACAAACCTTCATTTGCATTTCTCTCCCAGCACTAACTTGGAGCAGGTAAGTGCACAGCAAGTTACAAGCAGTGATTCCCCCCCCCCCCAAACAACCCCTTCCCTCTCTACCCCCCCCCCACACTCACTCTCTCTCTCTCTCTCTCTCTCTCTCTCTCTCTCTCTCTCTCACGGTGCTGGTCTTATTTGCATACATAGATAATGTCAATCTTGCTTCACATCCCCTTTTTATGTTTGAAGGCTGTGTGTGTGTACACACACACACACACACGCCATATTCTCTATTTGATAGGATCTTTTTTTAAAAAAAGGATTAGGTAAGCTGTTTTCATTTTGTCACTCTAACAAATTGTGCGCGGTTTCACAACCCAGGATGTGTTGCAACCCTAAGGAGACCTTTGCTTTAGACACTGGAGGGTTGGAAAATGCTTACAGTGTCAGTTCCCAGGTCTGCGGCTTGAGTAGAAGAACCACGTAACACTTCATCGTATTAAAATCTCCATGGCTTTCCAGCTTGCAATCCAGAAAGCTCCCGCCTTCCCGCCCTACTAAAGGAAAAGGTCAGCTAAATGCTGGAGAGCCAGTGAGGTGCGCTGGTGAAGAGTGTGAGACTAGGATCTGGGAGACCCAGCTTCAAATCCTCGCGTGCCGTGGGAGCTCGCTGGGTGACCTTGGGCCAGTCACACTCTCTCAGCCTAACCTACCTCACAGGGTTGGTGTGAGGTTAAAATGGAGGAGAGGAGAATGACGTAAGCCGCTTTGGGTCCCCCGTTGGGGAGGAGTCTCCTTGGAAGGCACCTGTGCGCAATTCCTTCAGACATGGGCAGGCCAGAGGGGAGCCTAGAATGCAGACTCGGTCCACGTAACCAGGGCTAGTAAGTGAGCCAGGCCATGGAAAGCTTACTGGGTGAACTTGGGCCAGTCACACATGCACAGCCTAGACTGTCTCTCAGGGCCGGTGTGGTGAGGATAAAACGTAGGAGAGAGGAAGGACGTAAGCTGTTTTTGGGTCCCCATTGGAGAGAAAGAGGGGGGTATAAATGAAATAAATAAATAATAAGTGACTGCTCCAAATTGGCAGTGGGAAGACCCTTGGAGGGGGATGTTGGGTACGCCGTGTGCCTGTTGTCACCTTCTCAGAGACCAAGAACTGGCAGGGGTGACGAAGGAGGAGGGCTCCCCATCCATCCATTAATGCTGCCACCTGGTCCAAGATAGGGTTGCCATCCCCCCGATGAGGGCGGGGTTTCCCTCACTTTCGGGGGGCCCCAATTCGCCGCTGGCCAGCAGGGGAGCCGCACCCCCAAAGAGCCCCATCCCATCTGACATGTTCGACGTGATGATTTCAGCCAGAAGTGGTGTCATCGCACTGGGCACATTGCGCGGGGGACGCTCTAGCATTTGGGCAGAAACGGTGACTGTGACGACCCCTTTACTAGGGAGGTCGGGTTTTACTTTAAAGTGTCCCTTTTAGTTTATTTTTCTTTGGGTATCCGGCTGCCACCAGGAATTTTAAGGCTTTCCAACCTCTTACTATAATATATATTTCTATCACTGGGTAGGTGTATCATGGGTCTAGGCATTCATGAAGGTCTATGTGGTCTGAGGAAGGATTATTTGCTGAGCTGGTATACTTAAAGGAAATAGGATTTATTTAAAGAAAGCATCAACACGAGGGCAAACAATGTAAACAGAACTGGGAATGATTTGAACCATGGCTTGGTGTCTCTCACAAGCCTCTCTCCACTGACAGGGATATTTCATAGGCAACTTTGTAACACTGTACTTTTTCCTAGACTCTCAGCTTGTAAATTTCTCCTATAACACAGACTTAAATGTCACTCTTTTCACACACAGGGCTGAGTCTCCTTCAACTCAGAGACAGAACTTAACTGACTTCTGCTTCTCTCACAGAAATCTCAGGACCAACTCATATCAACTGCTTTTACACAGCACTCTCTGCTGACTAACTAACTGACTGTTTAACTGTCTCACTCTAACAGTCACTCCTGATAGACTTTCAAATCATCCACACAGCATCCATTCCAAAAACCCTCCCCCTCTCTGTCACTCACCAATCACATCACTTGCCTATTTCAACCACACTAGACTTTCACACAGCAATGTAAACCAACCTTTTAAAGACACACACACACACAAAAACATGAAATCGTTACAGTGACCGTAGAGTTTTTTGCCCAAATGCTAGAGCATCCCCCGCTTGACGTGCCCGGCACAATGATGTCACTTCCTGGTGATATGATTGCTTCGCACGCGCCAGAAGACTCCCGGACTGAGACTGGGGGCCCTGCTGGCGGCAAGGTAAGACCCGGCAACCCTAAGTCCAAGACAAGCGACCTCCCTTGGACCCTGCAGAACTGCCAGTGGAGGATGCGTCCCCCTCCCCCCCCACGTGCCTTCACCAGGATGTTTGCTTGAGGTGGAGATGTGTGTTGGGCTTGCCCTCTCTGTAGGGCAACTGAGAGGCCCAGGTAGGAGATTTGAAGTCCTACGATGAAGGCAGCTGTTGTCCAGATGAGTGATCCCTGCAGACAGAATGGCAATCTCCCATAGGATCATCTGAAGCAATTCAGGTAGAGGAAAGCCAGGATTGGCTCTTTGGTTTGCTGAAGAAAGAAGCAGATGCCAGGAAACACATCGTCAAATGTTACGATGCCCGTGGGCACAACATAGGGGACTACTGCTTTTTAGTTTAAATGGCCTGGGACCAGGGTTCCCAAAGGACTGTCTGTTCTCATGCCAACCTGCTCACCAGTCAAGATCAACACTTGAACATCTGGCTCAGTGTACCCTTGCCCTCAAGGGGAAGTGGGTGACAACCAGAGACGGGGCTTTTTCAGTGGTGGCACCAAATCTGTGGAATAGTCTCTCTGCAGAGATTCTCCCGGAGCCTAGTCCGCGATCGTCTAGGGAGATGGTTTGCTTGGCCACATTATATGTTTGTTTTTGTCAGTTTTCATGAGTTGGATGGTGTGTTTGGGTTCTCGTCGTCACCACTCCATATTCAATCAAATCTTTTAATGAATATTTTATTGCTGATAGTTATTCTTAGTGCTGAATCTGGTTTTTATGGTGATTTTTTTTGTCATTGCCAGTGTCCTGCTTTTGTACATTCTGCTGTTCTAACACTATGTTTTAATAGTTGTTACAGTTTTGTGTTTGTTTCTTAAGTGAAATTTTACTATTTGTGAAATTTTTAGTAATTGGCCGCCTGGCAAAGATGTAGCATACAAATAAATAATGATCAATGCCAAAGGTGGCAGTTACGTGTATTTACTGAGCTACATGGGGTGCAGTGTGCATTATTATTTTATTGTACAGCATGTTGGCTTGCAGATATTTTACATCCCTTAGGTGCAAGTCATTCTTACAGCTTCCCATAGTTTATATTTATTTATTTATTTATTTATATTTGAATTTATATCCCGCCCTACCCCAAAGGCTCAGGGCGGCTAACAAGGCCACCATGTGCCGGGTTAAAACAGTAAACACATAGTTTAAAGCAATAAATTACAATAAAATACAATAACAAATTTACAAACAGATTTAGACAAGATGGGTAGATCTTAACTTCCAAACTACTTCCTAAGATCTTATCATCTAAGCCGTGCCCAGGCGCCTCGCTCCCCCCTTGGGGGGGGCAGGCAATCATGCTGTTAATACGTCAGAGCATAGGGGCAAAGGTGGAATAGTGGTGGCTTCGGCTCCTACTCGAAGGCCTGGCGGAAGAGCTCCGTCTTGCAGGCCCTAGTTTGAAATCAATGGACTCTGTGAGCAAGTTGTTGTGCTTTAGCATCATAGTTCTTGCATACAGCCCCAGGGAGGGGCTGTGGCTCAGTGGGAGAACATCTGCTTGGCATGCTGAAGGTCCCAGGTTCAGTCCCCACTATCTCCAGTTAAAAAGGACCAGGCAGTAGGTGATGTGAAAGACCTCTGCCTGAGACCCTGGAGGGCCACTGCCAGTCTGGGTAGACCTTGATGGACCCATGGTCTGATTC